AAGTGACACAAAGCTTTGTAAATAAGGAGGGGAAGAGGGGTAGAAAGGCAAGGAGGGCAATGGGAAAAAAAGAAGCAAGCTATATCAGGTACAGGTTCAAATTCCCTATGATGAATGTGATCATGATGTATACCTAAGATGTACCAATACAATTTAAAAAAACAAAAAATTAGGTAGTGATCTAAGCGAGTGGATTTGCAGAACTTTGGTCTCTCATTCATTTAGTACCATCCCAAGAAAGCAATTGAGAAAAGGATGGCTTTTATAGGGAAACAGTAGACAACAGAAAATGCCAGAAGGCTGGACACCAAGAAAACAGCTAAGCAGTGATGTGAACAGATGACAGAAGCACTGCGAGTGTACATGTACCGTGGAAATGGGCACGCAGGCCAGAGAAAGGGCAGTGAGCACAACAGGCGCCAGTATAAAGAGACTGAAAGCGAGGGAAGGCAAAGGAGAAGCTAGTACTAATTTTTATGAGATTCTGTTTTTGGGATAAAACTGATTTTCTTTCATTCAGTAAACATTACACAGTAAGAGTTGTGCAAGACACAAGGAACACAGTAACAAAAAAGGTCACGATATTTACCCTCAAAGAGCTCATATTCTCAATTTACTAACCTAAACCTTTTGTTTGAGACAGGTTCTTACTATATAGTCAGGCTGGCCCCTCAAACTCGCACTGTTCCTCCTGTCTCAGCTTCCTGAGTGCTGGGATTACAGGTAACTCCACCACGCCTGGCTTAGCACATCCCAACATTAAAGGAAGATAATCCAGTTATACGGAGAAAACCAACTGCTGAGCTCTGCTCAATGTTAGGGTTTGCATGTTCTCCCAGGTGTACATTTTTGGTACTGGGACTCGAACTCACTAACTTGTGTTTGCCAGACAGGCGCTTGTGCTGCTGAGCTATATCCCTGGCCCCTCCCGGTGTGTAGATTTAAAGGAGAGATTTACTTGTATAAAGATGTCACTAGGGTGATCATCTGACTGATGACATCAGCCATATCCCTCTGAGTGAAGATAATGAGTGCAGCTTCTTTTTTTTTTTTTTTTTTTTTTTTGGTTTTTCTCCGGTACCGGGAACCGAACTCACGACCTTGCACTTGCCAGGCAGGCGCTTTTGCCGCTGAGCTAAATCCCCAGCCCTTGAGTGCAGCTTCTATTAACTGAAAATATGTTTTGTATTTTGCATCCCATAAATGTTTTACACATATTTTTTATTCTATCCTCAAAGCAGCCTTTCAAATTTTTACTTAACTTTCTTGTGTGTTTGTGGCATTGGGGATTAAACTCAGGCTCTCATGCATGCTAGGCAAGCACGCTACCACTGAGCTTTATCCCTAGTCCTTTTCATTTTATTTTTGAGATACAGTCTAAGTTCCCCAGGCTGGCCTCCAACTTCTGGTTCTCCTGCCTCGGCCTCCCAAGTAGCTAGGATTCAGGTGTGTGCCACTGCACTCAGTTTTTTTTTTTTAACTTCAGAAAGAGTAACTGAAGTAATATATATATGACTATAGATCTGCCAGGCATGATGGCATGTGCTTGTAATCCTAGCACTTGGGAAGCTGAGGCAGGAGAATCATGAGTTGAAGGCAGTCTGAGGTACGGTACATAGTGAAATCCTGTGTCAAAATCCACAAAAGACAAAAAAACTAACCACTATAGCTTGGATTTTCAGGACTATACCATTTAATTAGCATGAGATCAGCAAACAATTTTGTGGGGTCCCTTAAGCCCCTCTGGGAAGGAGTCGGGTGCTATTTGCATTAATACCCTGTTTACAGCTAATAAAACAAGATCAGCTTGGAAGGGGCAGGACCTGATTAGAGCTCAGGTCTAATCATACAGAACCTTTAGAGAAGAAATGCTGCGTATCAATCACCTCACAAAATTTGTTCCAGGAGGTACATGAACCAGCCACTGTATGCGTGAAGGCTAGGACAGAGTTGGCAAGAGACAGACCAGGGCCCTCTTACGGAGCTTTCATTTTTTTGTTGCTGTCTTGTTTTGAGATTGGGTCTCCCTATGCAGTCTAGGCTGGCCTCAAATGTGCAGTGATCATCCTGCCTCAGCCTCATGAGTGCTGGGATTACAGATGTGTGCCACCATGACTGGCTGATGCAGCTTACATTCTTTTTTTTTTTTTGAGACAGGGTCTTGCTATGCAGTTCAGGCTGGCCTTGAGCTCCTTGATGATCCTCCTGCCTCAGGCTCCCAAGTGCTGGGATTACAGGCATGTGCCACCACGCCCGGCTCTCAGCTTATATTCTAATAGGAAAACGGAACAGAAGAATCAACAAAGTTGTTGTGCACATGAGAACAACATAAACATAGTCCTCAAAGAGAGAATTCAGTGAGGAAAAATGGCCCATTTTAGTGACTAGGGGCATCTCTTTGAGGAGGAGAGACCAGAGCTTAGCACTCAAGGTTAAAGAAGATAGCCACACAGAGAACAGTGGAAGGGGCCAAGAAAAAGGCACAGGATGTACACAGGCCCTGGAGGGGGGCTGCAAAGCACAAGGAGAACTACACTCAGGCACTGCAGCATATCAGCATGGCTGGAAACACTTTGGAGGCAGAGAGGTAGGAACGGCCAGATAGGACAGTGTTTTGTAACCCAAGGTTAATAACGCTAAGAAGGAAAATCCAAGTGCAGTGAGAAGCAGCTACTTTCAAGCAAAGAAATGACATGTTATTTGTGATTATTCAGAAATACTTTTATATGGCTAGGGGTGTTGCAGTGGCAGAGTGCTGGCCTACCGTGTGCAATGCCCTGGGCTCCATCTCCAGACCCCCTACTTCAAAACACACACATATAAAACATTTCAAACACATAAAAAAAGATACAACAGCTACTGTCCAGAATTATTAAATCTAAACATATAAGGTTCCGCTGGGCTTGGTGGTGCACGCCTGTAATCCCAGCACTCAGGAGGCTGAGGCAGGAGGATCACTGCAAGTTCTAGACCAGCCTGAGTTACTAAATGAGCTCAAGGCCAGCCTGAACT